ATTTCAAAAAATGGTGACTCGGCCTTTGATGAGACTACTCCCTCTGATAGTTTGCTGTCTTGGTTGCCAGATATCGCCGAAACTGCAGCTCTTAACAGTGGGCTACATGTTATCAATCAAAGTCACTCACTTTCTTCGGACATTTCAAATGCAGACTCCGATGGTTTTAATTCATTGATGAATCTTCTTGACGCCTGGCTCTTGAAACAGCCAATTGGGCTTAGTGAGGCCTGTTCAGCTTACACAGTTGCACTCAGAGACGAGCAGGAGCGCAGTCGACCTAGAACGAAGGACCAGACGGGCACGAACCTAAGTCCCTGCAGCAATTGGTCCTCCTCTGAACAAGCAGCGTCCACAATTGTCGTACCACCTGATGACTCTAATGAAACAGCCTTGACGTTGTCTGGTGCAGGAGGCGGAAGTTCTGGGCTTGCCAAACGAATGGAGCGTAGCCACATCGCTGAACAATTTCGACTGTTGCGCTCCTGCTTAAGGCATTTGGAGGTGAGGATTATATACCATATGAACATCTTAATGATAACTTCCAATTGTCCATTTTATGAATAGCAAGCTATGTAAATATGAGCTAAGAAAACAAGAATGTAATAAGAAAGTTAAGACAAATAGCTTTACGCTGATAGTTAGGTAGATATGACATGTCCCTTGCTAAATCTTAGATGAAGTAACTATTACTTTTCGCTTATAAGTGGGCACTTTAGACTATCAGTAGATTATATACTTGAGTTTTATTTACTTTTTTTCATTTAAGGTGATGAAAAGCTATAGTTGAATGCTCCCTCACGTTTCTATTGAATTGCATAGCCTAAATTCCCAAAATGTATTATCTTGTAGAGTGGACTGCTGTTCTAATATCGCCTAGGTCTCATCAGCACCCCTAGCGGTACTCTGACTGAGATAATGCAGAATACAATCTGGCACTTATTTATTCCACCTTGATAAGGATAGATAGCTTTTCAATGCCTTTTTTGTCTTACATACTAAAGCCTTTTCGTAATTTCACACCCTTGTTAGATATAAATAATTTGATTTAATTAAAAAAAAGAGCTTGGGATACGTATTTCCTAGGTAATTGAGAATACGATTCTTTTACTCACATTTAATTAAATAAAGTACATCTCACTCTTATTCGGCTATTTGTTCAGTCATGTTTTGCCTTTATTCTATTAACTCTAAGCATCTCCCATTTCGAAGTGTTATTCCACTTCTCCTTTAGGATGTTCTAGTGCTATTTATTAATAACCATCTGTTGGCTCTGATTTGTTACTTATTTGGAAAACATACCAAAGCAGCTAACGCATTAGCTGGGAAATAATTCATTCACATTCACTACCATTATCAACACCAAATATATCCTATTAAATTGTGTAAATAGAATAATTGGTTATTATGAGTTATTATTATTCTTTATGGGCTAGGTTCTTGCTATAAAATCTCATAGAATTTGTCTTTACCATACTCTCTTGGTAATGGCTCCAAGACATCCTATAGTGCCAAGAAGATTACTCAAATTATTTTTAAGGTTCCTTTTCTTAAACATTCTGAGATTAAGGGCTATTCAGTCCCTCCTGAATTATTTAAATCAGGCATAGGAGTGCACAGTTAGAAAACATGGAAGAGTAATAGATTTTATTTTATTAATGTAATAGCCAAATTTTGCTATAGACTTTCCGTATTGATCAAATGTGGGAAATACAATCAATTCAAAATTTAAGTGTTTAAATAGAAAATAATTAAATACGCATGGCATTTGATCATTCGGAAATAGAAATAAATCCATTTTACTTAATAATCCTTCATCAGAAGTTGACTTACAGATTCTACCAAAAATAGTTATGAATAATCCTCTTGTAATTTCCTAAGTTCTCTATGCTCAGAGTTATATATATCTTCTACTTTTAAGATTTTCTTCGGGCAGTTTTTGTTATGTTAGCTTTGACTATGCATTTGAATACATTGCCATTGGGCAATATCGGCCTTTTTTTTGAAGATACTCCAAGCTTCTTTATTTCGGATTTTCGTAAAGTATAGTTTCCCAGAGTTAGCCCTGCTCTGAAGTTGTCTGTCACATGACGGGCAAAAGCTCAGCACAGATTCATCGTGGTTTTGGAACGGTGCGCCGAAGGTTTAAAAAAACCTGCAGTCATAGCACTAAGGCAAATCTACTTGGGCTATGGCACGGCGAATTTACGAATCCACTCTACTCACCTCGTCACACGAAATAGAAGGTACGCTCAAGTACCGTTTTCCCTGTCTTAAAGAAAGTCGTTAATTCTTCTTAAATGCTTCTTGGGTTATGTTGCTAATAAATGGGTCAGTCTTGCTACATCATAAAATGAAGACATTGTTGCCAAACTTTTGAGTCCTTTTAAAATTTCATATGTAGCAAATTCTTACTAAAGTTGCCTGAAGCTCTCGAAAGCACAGACCACTTAATCTTTTTGAGGTTCTTCAAACCTACTGCAAGGACAGAGGCAACATGTGGTGATAATGAGTGACGACTAAGGGAGCTAGTGTTGTTGCTACAACATGCAAAAGACATAATTAACCCAGGAAGAACGCAGGAATTATTAAGAGTGCTGTTGGCCTGAGAGTAATGACAATTAGGGATTTAAAAGTGCTTCCTCTCTATATTACTTTTAGAAGTATTTGGGAGTATAAATTCGTAATAAATATCTAAAATATAATTGAATTAAATATTAAGACCAAGATCATGTAACCTTTTGTCTGGTCATAGTCTCCTTTAGCTGTGTAGTTTTGGTTTGACCCTGTTTTCGCAAACTGGTCGGATCGACAGGGATACCTCGTGAAACGTACCCAGTCATATGCCCTCTGTCATAGTATTCATGATGATTTACAGCATCGGGCCGCTGACTTGGTACATTCCCAGACGTTTCAAGGCATCGTTAGTGAGAGGCGCCATCTTTAGCACAGAGCTTCAACTTGCCACTTGTCATTTTGATAAGTTTTAACTCTGGTCTAAGAATGGCGCCTCTTACTGGTGTCGACTACGATGCCGGTGATACGTCTGGGAATGTATGTACCAAGTCAATGGCCTGATGCTGCAAATCGTCAGGAATATTCTGGCAGAGGATGTAGGACTAGATAAGCTTTACAAGCTCTTTCTGTCGCTCTGACCGAGTTGGGAAAACAAGGTCAAGCCAACACTATGAATGAACTGTTCCGCTGGTGGAGAATTATTCAAATTCAACGATAAACTAGCTAAAAAAGCCAGGAGCCTCTCAGATTATTAATGCTAAGAGAATATTAAAAATAATACAAGGGTTAGAAAATTTTACTAAGGAAGAATAACTGTAGAGGTCAAAAAGACTAGGGGAGAGAGATAAATAAAATAAACCAGCTCAAATGATCTACCT